GCTGTAATCTTCTTGCCCCCATTGGTGGAATTTTGATTTCCTCTCTATTCCCCAATTCTTATTTTGCAGAGGGAACTGACCTTGCCTGCACCCACTTTCCCAGCTGAATTCTGTGAGCCCTTTCCACAATTACAAAAGCAGTAATAAAGTTTCCTTGTCAGAATCTTGCTGTGACTTCTAAATAGATGAAAGACAGTTAAGTCACATATGTACTCCTTTCCCATAGCATCCTTTGTGAGGAGTTTGAGCTGTGTGGCTAAATTGTTAATATCAGATTCCACTCCTTACGTATAAAACACCATTTTGGATAATCCAATTAGATACATGCATTTATATTTTGTTTTACTTAATCTTATCTGGCTCATGCGCCAATTAAGACTCAAAGACTTTTGCTTTTTCCAAAATCAAAGTTTCACAATTATACATAGTTTTCTCTAATTCTTTCCCCACCTCTTGTAATACCTAGAGATAAATCTATATTTGAATTAAATTCCAGATTGAAACCTGTGCCAAAAGTATACAGTATACAATTATTTCCTTTTGTATTTTCATTAGTGTAATTTTATCTTAGCAAGATACAGTAGTAGTCTGCTTGGTAAATAGGATCATGCATCTTAAGGAGTTTAAACTAGGTAGACAGTTCAGTATTAAATGAGGGTTAATAAACTGCTGAGACCTGATCTCCTGCACTAATGGGATTAGTTTTCCTGCAGGCCAAGTTCATCACAAGTGTCTGGGGTTTAATTCAACTTTACACCTTTCCATAAGGCATGCATAGAGCAGGGCTTTTCAACCTTTTCACCCATTGTGCCACTTTTAGGATATGGCAACATCCGAGTACCACCAGCAAGGTGCCAATAACCTGACCCCAAAAAAGGAAAAAAGTGATAAAATACAGGTAGTCCTCGACTTACAACAGTTCGCTTAGTTACAAACTGTTCAAAGTTACAATGACACTGAAAAAGATGCCCCCCAAGCCATAGACGAGCAAGACACCTGCCTGCCCACCCGGCGGAGCTCTTCCTCCTGTCCGAGGTTTTCATTGTTGTGAGCATTTCTGTTGAGGATTGGCAGCAGGGGTGGGGTGGGGGGTGTTTGGTTTTTATTCCCCCCGTCTGCTGGGTGGTTGCAGCAGGTTTTGGTCACTTCACATGACCCTGGGACACTGTGACCGTCATAAATATGAATCAGTTGCCAAGCATCTGAATGTAAATCACAAGACCCTGGAGACGCTGCAACATTCCAGCTGATTGGTGCTTCTTCAGGGCTCAGCAGAAGCACCAGGATCAGCGCCGAGCTCCAGCTGGAGCCTGGCACTGATCCTGGTGCTTCCACTGAGCCCTGACAGCCCCGAAGAAGCGCTGATCAGCTGGAAAGCGGCATTGATCCTGGCGCTTCCGCTGAGCCCTGACAGCCCTGCAGCTCCAGCCATTTCTCGCTCAGGCTTGTGCGGTGCTGCCACCAGTTCAGCTCATTCCCCTCCCCTGCTACCACTTTTCTAGGATGGTCGCGTACCACCTGCCAGGTGCCAATGTACCACAGGTGGTACCCATACCACTGGTTGAAAAGCCCTGGCATAGAGAATAAAGAAGGAGTGACAAATAGATCTGAAGTGGTCCCTGGGGATCTGTTTAAATGTAAACAGAGATTCTTGAGATCAAGTCTGCAATTTGTGCCTTCATGTAATCAGGTTTCTAAAGTAAGTTTTGAGCAAGAGATGCTAATGATCATAATATAATAATTAATAGAATAAAACCATAAAAACATTTCTAAATTTACAGCCAGAAGATTCATAAGCTTCTCCTACTACTTTTTGACCTAGAGTTGCAATTCTCAATATGCTTGTCAAGAAGTCAACTTTATCGCACTTAACAGAACTATGTTAGGAGTAAAATATATTCAGTGCTTCATTGGAAATAGAACTATGTCTAACCTGATATAAATCAGATCTGATTAGGATAGAAAATAAAGAATTACTGTTTTTCCTTCAGTTCAATACAACTATTCATTCTTCTTCATTCTGTAAAGGTACAGATTGTTAAAGTTGAATTCTGCTGCTAGCTTCCTAGGAACTTAGATTTCTAATTAATATTTAATTGCTGGTTTATTACATTTACTGTACATTCTACCACCACAACTCTTGGTGGTTTGTATTTAAAATGGTAATACTTTAATAAGAATGGAAAGACTGATAATTCCTCCAAGTATGTTATTTACCATATAAATATATGCATCAAGGGTCTGTGGTCTGTTCCATGTTTGCACATGGCAACTTTTTTCTTATTGTGCATAACATGACCAGTAATAGAATTTAATTTTTGTGCTTCTGTTCTGCATAACAATGACTCATGTTTGCATCTTATGAAACTATGCAATAGAACTGAGCAATAGTGAACCAATGTATATGTCTTCGTCAGATGGCAGCTGGCAGAAGATCTAAACCAAGCAGGGTCATTCCTGGTTAGGATTTGCATAGGATACCCCCAGAGAACCTAAGGTTGTAGGCTGGCTCTGGAAATTGAAAAAACATTTGGGAAGACGGTAACAGCCAGTACTGTTGTACAACTGTCAAGAAAAATATGTAGATGTTTCTGTGGTGTCCCCTAAGACCTGACCTTAACCTGTGTCTTCCAGATTAGGTTAAATTATAAAATCAGTGCTAGAATAATATAAACAAATAGCTATGGGGATTGCCCTTCCCATGGCTCAAGTCCAATTATATGGGGATTGTGTAGCTACTTATGGCTGCATGGGTCCACTGCACTCCATTCTTACTTGGAGGCAATGCTTTTTTTCTAAAAAAAAAAAAAAAAGGTGCCGGAACTCACACACGTCATACAACCCGCCTTGCCTACCTTACAAGGGTCCATCCAAAAAAGGTGCCGGAACTCCGTTCTGGGCATTCTATGACAAAACAAAAGCCCTGCTTGGAGGTCATTCGAAATGGATGCTGGTGTTACTGAATTTGAAAATCAATGGATCCTAGCATTGTAACAGTTTGCCCTTCCATTACTCAGGCAGATAGGATTAGTCTCTTTGGTTATAGCCAGCATGCTTATGAGCTTGAATGTGTGTTTATAATCCTAGCCCAATGTTTTTATTTCTTGCTTCCACGGTTTTCTGGATGCTGCTATACTGAGGTGCTAATAATAGCAGAGTGACAGCTGCTATGTGAGGATAAAAACAATCCTAGACACACAGTTCTGCCACCCCCTTTTCTTTTTGTAGCTTCCTTGTAGACCAAACAAGAAGAGCATTGAAGGAAGATATAATCTGACCTGCAAAGATGTTTTCTATAAATCAAGCATATTTGGAAATGTTTTGATCTGAGTGCCTGACGGACTCAACCATGTGCAAATAACACTTGACGAAGTGTGCTATCCCTTGGGTTGCCCAGAGATGTCTTGGTCGGCTGCTTTATTCTGCAGTGATTTTTCTTTCTGCCTCTGTCATAACTTCTGCTTTCGCAAGCCTTTCCCTTTGTCTAAGCCATTCTCCTGGCTAATTTTGTTTTATTGATCCAAGATGAGATACATGATTGGAGTGGGAGGAGGAGAAGCAGAACCTAGAGCAATAAAGGTTTACAAAAATAATATTGAGTCAGTTGTGGAACTCTGTTCCAGATAAACATTAGATAAATGAATGTTTTCTTACTATTCAGGTGTCCAGAATTACTGGACATCTGCTTCTTTTATTGATTCTTTTTCTGTTTTCATACTGACTACATGTACAATTAAATCTAGTCCAAAGATTTTTACCCTTGGTAAAAAAATTTTTTTTTTAAGAACAATTTATTCAGCAAAAGGAAATATAGTGGTTTTAAGATATTGGACAACAATGCTGTGTCTAATGAGTCAGGCTGTAATTCCTAGTGTTGCATAGTATACACACCATCTATTATCTATCTGACTCAGCCAACAAAGGGAGTCACATGCATTCTTTATCTATAGAAACTTGGCCTTTCAAGTCAAGGAAAATGCTTTCAAGGCTCTTTTACAGTGAATTACCATCCTAAATTAATGAAAGGTTTGTCTGTAGAATATTTGGAAATAGTAATGAATGGTGGACTCTTAACCGACAGTGTAATAATTGAGGATTATCATGGAAAAAAATGGTTTTTAGAAGTTGCACTGATATGGTTGGCATCCTTCAGTCTCAAGAGACTATGGTATCGTGCTCTGGAAAGATGCTCCTAAGATGCTCCTAAGGCAGCATCTGGTGTGGCTAAAAAGGCCAATTCGAGAATGGCAGTCCCTTCCACACTGAGGGCAAATACAATCTGTCCCCTGTCCAGCCCCCAGATTTTGCTGGTTCTCTTTGCCTCAGCCTGCCGCACAAGTGTCTCTGATATAGTGCACTGATATAGTGACTAAACATATTAATTTCCCTATCAACATAGAAGAACTTTAGTCTCAGAAAAAAGTATCTAGACTTACAAGACTGAATCTTTGAAATTAAGTCTACAGTGATATGACCCTTTTAAGGAGCAACGTGACTATGAATTTGATAGTTTAATTTTCAATGTTTTGTGACAATTAGAAAGTTACAAATATTGTCATAAATACTTCTGAATGTATGTGGTTACATCCATGCATACAGCAGAAACTCATGCAACTATGGGGTAACCTTTAATATTTCTTTGAAATCTTTTGAGGGCAGATGGACATTTCAATGTACACATATAGAGGGTTGTCTGGGTTTGTGCATTGTCTGAAGCTCTTCAAATTGATTCCATGGTAGCAATATATTATTTTTCTTGGCCACAAATACAATACACTTTTTCCACTTGAGAATGACCTTTTCCCAGATAGCATATCCATCATCGTTATTGTGTATTTACCTTGAGAACATAGCAATATAAAAATAATTTTTAAAAAGCTTTCCACAGCCTGACATTTTATAGCTTCTACATATGAGACTGTTTTTGAGACCCTACAATGTTTTTTTCTTTCTTTCTAGATTCACACAAGCTAAAACTGATATGGTTCTTTTTTTTACAGGTTGCCTGTGCATTTGCCTAGCTATGTCAGAAGATTCTGGTACCGAAGGCCTAAGCTCAACTTCTTTGGTAGACTTCATAACAATGTCCCACTTTAAGTCTCTGGATTCCAGTGAACAGACCAACTTAGAATTATCGGAGTCTGATTTTGGTCCTGGTGCCTTGCAAGTCTCACCTGGTTCAGGATTTTTCAGTGAGGAAAAGGAAGACTCCAAGGTCCTCCAGTCTCAGTATTTATGGGAAGAAGGTGGAGACAGCAATGATTCCAGTGTGTATGTGGGGCCAGCAGCAGGTAACAATCTTCCGACTATTTTCTTCTAAGTTTTGTTAGACTTTTTTTTGTTAAAAAAAAGTGGGCCTTGGGTTTTTCAAACAGTTTTTCCAAATCATGTGTTATTAGAGGGAAATTAATTTAGGTGGGAAGTTTTTAGCCTTATCATTGCGGTGGCATAAGATTATGGTATTGAAATAATAGGATAGTAACAGTAATGGTTTTGGAAGCCTCTGAGTTGCATTCCCCAACTTTCTCTTAGAAAGAATCATCCCACATGGTAACCAAATCTGTTTCGGTGCCATTTTCAGGTCTAAAAACTGATGGAAATGAATCTAAACCTCCATTTCATTTAAGAATGCTTGGGGTTGATCGGTTTTGAAGTGGGACACTGTCTAGGAAAATTATTTTAGGAACTGTTCTGCAGTTATTATGTAAATCTCCTGGGTGTAATTATGGCTTTCTCAGGACTGGTCTAATTATGAAATACTTTACTAGGCTTGGGAGCATTCATTCTTCTAAAGAGGAATTTATAATTAAATCCAGCTGACCTTCTTACTTGTTGTAATATAGACCCTTAGGAGCAAGTGTTGAACACTTGACACAATGAGAAAGATGAACTGTGGGTTTTTTTCTCCATTGTCAGCCTTGAATTGGCTTGGTAATGAATTCTTGCTAGTATTAAATTACCTCCATCTGTTTTTCAGTCATCGCCCATCTTTCTTCAGTGGTCTTAATTTGAATAATTATCAGAAAGTCGAATGTTCTCTGCAAAGCAGGCAGTGATGAACAGGAGCCATCGTGTTGGCCCTTTCTGCATTTAAAATGATCTGTATTTCTATTGGACTGTCCTCCCCAAGACTATTTGACAACCCTTTCAATAGTTCCTGTCTTTCCTCCATAGAGAAAAATCATTTATGCAAGTTTAAATCAAAACTAAAGAGCAAAAAACCAAAAAGTGTAGGCAACTATTCATGTCAGGCTGGTAAGAAGCTGGGAAAGATCTATGTTTGTCCTGTGAAATCCTAAGCTATTTTAACCAGGCCAGTTTTGGCCTGTGTGTTGAAGTCTCCCAGAACCAGCACTTAGGGATTTTCAGATATAGAATGTTGCCATCAGTTCAGGTAGGAAGACTTACAAATTGAGCAAGACACTTGTAGAATCCCAAACAAGTTGTCCCGAGTGCTTACTAGGGGCTACAAGTGGAGAGAAAATGAATTCCTGTAGACTTCAACAATTCTCTCTCTCCAGCCTCTTGATGTGTCTCGATGCCAAATTGAGAATATCTAATTTTCAATCCATACTAATAGATATGACAAAGTTATCCTCATGGAGAAAGGTAAATCAACTTATAATGTGCAACCCATTTTTTGGAATAAAGAATACTTGGGGGGGGGGGGGAATTGCAACCAGAAAACAAATTTTAAAAACCTTTGATAAAAAGAAGACAAGATATAATAACCAGAGTGTCATGATGATGCCTTGTAGGAAATGAATGCATGAATGAAAAATAGCAGTTGTATATCAATTGCCAAGCAATATAAATAATCTTAATGAGGAAAAAAATTGGGCACTAGAGTTTTTGAAAGAACATGGGGTAACTTTGTTTCATCAGTCCATCTACTCCAGCATTTGTTATTCACAATGTCCAACTAGATTATTCTGTTCATAAGCAGGAGCTGGAGATGTAATTCATTTCCACCACTGTGCCCCTGGATGCTACTCCCAACTCAGAGGTAACAATGCATTTTCAGAATTAATGGCCCTTGACAGACCTCTCCTTTATCAATTCATTTAATCCTCTTTTAAAGCCATCATCATATTTTTGACAATAAATTGCACACATTAATGAAAGCTCTCACTGAGGACAAAAGAGTTGCATTAAAGAAAGTAAAACTGTGGAAGCTATTTCATTGTCATTGATATTTGAAGGGAGAGGCATTGTTGTCTGTGTATTAATTAAATTAAGTGGGCATTTATAACTTTTCTCAAAGCAAATTCACTTCTATTCACTTACCTTGAGTTGAGCATAGTCCCGAGTATAAATTCTTGGACAAAATTTCTCTTTTTCAACAAAGTTAACTCTTGAATGAGCAAGCAGCCTTTAAGACCCCCTAAAATATATTTTTTTAAAAAAAACAAAGTAGTATATTCAAATTTTGTCCAGCAATATTTACATGACATACATACTGCCTGTGCTTTGGAAGGCAAATTCTTATGTATCCAGTGGATTCTTAAATGCTTCTTTAAAGACTACAAGATTACACCTTCAGTTAATTTAATTAGTAATCTCATTTAATCTATTGATTAAACAAAATAAAATGACCAGGATAAATTAATTGATATTAAGTAGAATATAATTTAGTTATTTATTTATAATGATGATCTTGAGAAGTAATCTTTTTTCATTCACAGAAATAATCATTTGTATCAATATTCTTCTGACTATATTATTAAATACATATTTCCTTATAATCAGACTCCAGGGTAAATGAAGTTCAGTTACATTTCTTTATTTATAGCATTATGTTCCAAAGATAGGTGCAGATGGCATCGGGCCTGGATATCTCCGAGACCGCCTTCTGCCGCAGATTCCCTCCCACAGACCGGTACGCTCCCACAGAGTGGGTCTCCTCAGGGTGCCGTCGGCCAAGCAGTGTTGGCTGGCGACCCCCAGGGGGAGGGCCTTCTCTGTGGGTGCCCCCACCCTCTGGAACGAACTACCCCCCGAGATCCGGACGATTCCGGACCTCCTACCTTTTCGCCGCGCCCTCAAGACATGGCTTTTTCAACAAGCGGGTCTGGCCTAGGGAGAATTTTTAAATAGGGACAATTTAAATTTAAATCTTAATTAATTATACAGCGGAAAAATATTTGGTTTTTAATAGGTTTTTATGGGGGGACGATGTTTTATGTGTTTTAATATGCTGTGAGCCGCCCTGAGTCCTATGGGGAGAAGGGCGGCATATAAATCCATGTAAATAAATAAATAAATAAATAAGATAATATTTGCTTTGTTTTTGCCTGATTTTCCCTTTTGGTTTTAATGTGTTTATGTAAAAGTAATCAGTAGCACGGGATGCAGGGTACTTTAAGACTAGGATACTCTTCTTTCAAAAAGACTCTTCACTGAAATCCTCCAGTGAGGAGGGGGGAGTAGAAAACTAAAGTCAAGATGGTTGCCCCAGTGGCAACACGATTGAACCCCCCCTTCCTTTTTACATGCAACACACATAAAAAAGGCACTGTGTTTCTGTCCTATAGTTCAACCACCCTTTTAATTTTTCTGCTCCTCCTCCAGATACCTCTGCTGTTTCTCAATATAATTTGTAATCTCTATTGCAAGAATATAGGAAACAATAAGCTATGAATTTTAGCTTAATAATGGAAAATGTGAACGATGCTATGCAGGTGTGCCTTCTCCATTTCCTCCCACTTATCTTTCCCTTTACCTGAGCAGAGAAAAGAGCCTAGGTGGGTGAGTTTAAACTGATGTTCAAACATGAGGTGATATATAGGCTATATAAATTGAATGAATGAATAAAACACATACATACATACATACATACATACATACATACATACATACATACATACATGCCAGTTTCATAGCCACCATTAAGCATTAGCTCCCAGGCTTCCCACCTGAACTATGCAACAAATTACAAATCTCTGGATACTTAATATTAATTCAGCTCTTGCTTATATTTGGCAGAGAATATCTGAATATGACTTGGCAAGTTTAGGACTTTTATTGCAAGAAGAATGGAATTATAAAAAAGAGTTGACAGCCTGCTGCAGTGCAAAGCAGTCAGTCTTTATATACCTATGCTCCAATGTTTAAACTCTTAAATTTCTTTCTCCTACTTTTCCATGTTGAAAGATACTTCGCCTTAGGTAGTGCTGGTCCTTCATAGACTAGAAGTCACTAGAAGTCCTACTTCACAAGCTTTGGCCGTTAGACAAGAGCTGAAGCTACAATATGATCCTAGCTTGTTTACAGTATATGCCTGAATCTTGTTATGCTTTCAGGCTACATTATCTTTGTTTGTTTATTTTATGAGTTTGCACAAAGAACAAAATTGTAGTAAAATGGCTGCTTTTATAAACATACGATTCATTCATATTGTTGGTCAAAAGCCAAAATGTTAGTTTAATGTGATGATTTAATTGTGATCTATGATGTTAAACAGGCACGTTTGAGTTGCCCATTGAGTCAATTGGACAGGGGTCAGCATGTTCAAGGTTTCCTTACAGTTTATCAGATTATCCTGCCCAATCTTGACCTGGTTTTAGGCCAGACAAGATGAGAAGGTGACCTTCTATCTTGCTGTTCTCCCTGCTGCCTTCCTTGCTTTCATTTCATCTTACCAGCAGTTGGTACCTGTCCAGCCTGGTTCTAGTCTAGTGATATCTATTCAAATGAAAGCATTATATCTATGAAGATTTCAGTCTGGGAAAATTGAATCCCCACAACTGAACCCAAAATTTATGTTGCTAAGTAAGACAGTTGTTAAGTGAATTTTGCCCCATTTTATGACCTTCCTGGCCAAAGCTGTTAAGTGAACCATACAGTTGTTAAGTTAGTAACACGGTTGTTAAGTTAATCTGGCTTCCCCATTGACTTCGCTTGTCAGAAGGTCGCTAAAGGTGATCACATTACCTTGGGACACAGCAACGGTCATAAATATGAACCAGTTGCCAAGCATCCAAATTTTGATCACATGACTTATGGGGATGCTGCAATGGCGTAAGTGTGAAAAATAGTCATGTCACTTTTTTCCAGTGTCATTGTAACTTTGAATGGTCACTAAACGAACTGTTGCAAGTTGAAGACCATCTGTATACTGTATAGGAATCACACTGGGGTGGGTGGCAGGTTAAATTGTGCAGACTGTACAACCATCATCTTCCCTAAAAAAGTTTTTAATGTATTGCAGTCGTGCATGTTTGACACCTCTAAATCTTCTGTGCCTGTTTTTCCTTTGATAATAATAATAATGATAATGATGATGATAAAG